CTCACAATTCTTAAATAAATTTAAGAGATAAAATAACTTTTAATCTGGTGGGTTTTTAAGAAAGAAAATTGTCATATAAAGAGTGGAAAAAAATTTAAGGAGACATTTTTGTGAAAAAGATTCCTTTTAAAAGAATGAAAAGAGAATTTTAATTTTAAGAAAAAGTTAGAAGAAGAAAAAGGAAAAGAAAAGAAGGCCAAAGAAATTTCCTTGATTTTGCTAAAGATGTATATATATAAAAAAAGAAGAAGACCTTCTAAAAAAGAAACAAAAGAAAAAATTCTAAAAGAAGAAGAAATGCTCTTTTGAAAGAAAAAAGAAGAAGAAAGAAAATAAAACACTGAACGTTAAAATTTCCTGAAGCTTTACTAAAAAAAGAAGATCAAAGAACGAACATAGTCTGAAGAAATTATGAAAGAAAAGAGGAAGAAAAAAGAAAGAAAGATGAAAATGAAAAGGTTCAATGAAGTCAGCTTTGAAAAAAGAAAAAAAGACAAACCCTGGTCCATTTTCTAAAAGAAGAAGAAAGAAAGAAAAAAAGAAAGAAGAAGAAAGAAAGAAAAAAAAGAAATAAGATGAAAGAAATTTTAAAGAAAAAGAAGAAAGAAAGAAAAAAAAAAATCCAAAGAAAAAAATAAAAAAGACAGAAGAAAAAGAAAAAGAACGAAGTTTTCGAACGGACAAAAAAGAATCAGAAAGAAAGAAAAAAAAGAATAAGAAAGAAAAGAATAAAAAACTAAAAAAAGAATAATTTATTTGAATCTGAATTTTAAAAAAAAAGAAAGAAAGAAAAAAAAAAAGAAAGAAATAAAGAAAAAGAAAAAAAAAAAGAAATAAAAAAACAAAAAAGAAAGAAAAAAAAGCAATAAAAAAAAGAAAAAAGAAAAAAAAAAAAGACTAGAAAAATAAAAAAGAAAGAAAAAAAACTAGAAAAAACCAGAAAAACCAAAAAAAATAAACCAGAAAAAATAAAAAAAGAGAAAAAAAATTTGAAAAAGAAAGAAAAGAAAAAAAAAAAATAAAAAAAGAATGGAAAGAAAAAAGAAAGGAAAAAAAAAAAAGTGTTATTGAAAAAAAGAAAGAAAAAAGAAAGAAAAAAAGAAAAAAGAAAGAAATTCCATATATATATTATATATTATTATTATATATACATTTTGACTCCCATTTGGCAATATTTATTTAAAGTTTATAAAAAATATATGAAAAGATGTCGAAAATCAAAACATTTATCATTTCTTTTTTATGTGTTTGAATATTAAGGACGTAGACGATTTTCATGGACTCACATTTTTTTCAAAATAGTTCATTCTAAAGATTTTGCCCAAATCCTTGTTCTACCATCCATACAAAACAAACTCATCACAACAAAATCTTTTTTTGATTCAAAAAAAAAAAATTATCAAAATAATTAAGGAAAAATAGATTCAAATAACTTATTTTTAATGAATTTATTTGGCCAGAGCAAATGAAAGACTTGGCAAGAAAATATTTTTTTTTCAAAGTTTATAATTAATCGTCATTATGTGTTTATTTTAATTTTCTTGTTCAGACATTTTTATAAGTTTTTGAATAAGAAATTATTTATTTATTTATAAAATAGTAAATAAAAAAATACTTCATTATAATTAGTTTGCATATTTTTATAATCTTGTAAATATAAAATTATTCTTGTAAATAAGGAATCTAATAAATAGGCAGTTTAATTTTTTCTCGTCAGAATTTTTGTTACAATTACCATTTGTTGTGCATTGAAAGTAAATTATCTAGTCTGGTTCCTGCTGTACATCTGAAGATTCTTGACAAAACCAAAGAAGAATTTTCAAACTAAAAGAATCCTGACCAGGCATTTTTCTAGTCACTTTGTTTGATTGTTTTTCTGAAGAGAATACTTTCTTTGAAAAAATTGACAAACTTTTTTTGGAACAACTTTAACTACATGATTTAAAACATTTATATTTGGGTTCAGTCATATAGGTAAAATGCCTATAATTTTTTATATGTTAGTTTAAGCTTCAAACCATGTGTAAACCTAAATCCCAGACATTTTTTTTTTTGTGGGCATCCTATGGCTCACTTCAGCATCTGAGAGATATTCCCAAAGGAGAAGCGTAATGGAGAGCACCTGGGAATTTTTCCATGAATGCGCGATTTTCCTCAAAAATTCTCAATTTTTTTTTAAAACCAATCTACCTTGCTGGTCAATGCTAATGTTAGCCCAAGCGGTTTAAAATATTAGGAAAACCCTCCCTAAAAAAATTTTTTTTTTTGTTTATACCCAGGTATCCTCACTTCGAACTAAATGACATTTTTTCCTCTAGACATATTCTTTTATAACGGAAGGTCCATCCAGTTGTGAATATCACGGGATGTTTCAAAATACAAATCTTATTTGGTGGGTTATATCTTGTTGGCCAATACTTAGTCTTTAGGCGATTTGTTTAAAATATTTTCAAAACCCTTTTAAAAAAATTGATTTGCAATACACTAATGAGTTAAAAAACTTTTATTCTGCGTCCTTTAATTAAAGGTATATATATATATATATATAAATCCCTTGTAATAGGAAAAAAAAATGTAGGTTTTAGTTGATGTGTTTGTCCACTTGGACTTTTTTCAAAAACATGGACGGTCATATTTTCACAAAGTATCCTGTTCTTGTATCCCTCAAAAATGTTGTCTTTTTGAAGAATTCCTAATCCTGTTCTGCCACTTACATTATTCGTTATGGGAAATTTTCTATTTCTACTGATCCCCTTTATATGGTCAATAAAGGATCAAATTCTGTTTTTGAAGAATATTAAGATTAAAGAAAAAAATTGTTTGTATTGTTTTTGATGGATTCAACTGAATTTTTAATATTTTTGGGAGAGCAGTGATTCTATAGGAAAGATGAATTTCTCGAGGTGGGGATTTAAATGTATAAATTTTTCATCTGTTTGGTTTTTTAAAAAATCTAATATCAACTTCTAAAAAATAAAATATATTAAGGGAGTTAAAGTTGCACATCTAAGATTTTAATTTGATGAGAATAACGGCCATTTTGAGGTTTAAAGAAAGAAATTTATTTTTTAAAAAATTTGCATAAAAATTGGTATTTAAAAAAATGTTGTGACATTGCCCACATTTTTTTTTGACAAGCCAATATATATTATCCAACAATGCATTAAAAAATCTCTGAAATTTCTTGAACATTGAAATGGCTGGGAAATCTAACATGTTGACCACAACTAGACGGCTTGTGGATCAGCTCACCTCCCCGGACGAAAGTTTGCCTCGGCAAAAGCATCGTCCGGGTTCCCCAACCTGTTCACTGGTTACAGCCTTTGCGAGGTACATATATTTGGCAAGATCAGCCCATTTGTCCATGAAGGTAGGTCCTCATAACAATTTCACATTTCTCTTCCTTGTTTGTAAAAACAATTTTCTTACTCTTAATACTTTGCTTAGCTTTTGAAAGCGGTTTTTATCTCAATGCGCTAACATTTTGTTTCCACGTCATCCTGTTAAATGACTACCCAGATATTTAAATTTTCCTACTTGGCTTGATTTTGGCGTCTCCATCTTGTAGTGCGCCACGGCGTTTCCACATTTGCTGACAAAATACATTCAGTCCTCTTGCCAATTTATGCATAGTCCTTTCTTCTCGCTTTCCTTTACTAATTTAAAAATTATTTTGTATGAGATTCAATATTTATCTCATCATGCCTCCTTTAATAACCGTAATAGTTAAAAAGCGTAAAGTCACTTATAAACCATGCGTCAATATGATGAGGCGATCATTTATTCGATCTTTGAGAGAATTTATTTGTTTTTTCCCGAATAAATGTCAAAGAGAATTTTGTTGAAGTTTTTCTTTTAATTTCAAGAGAAAACAAAATTAGAGAATCATTTATATGGACACGCATAAATGTAGAAAAAAGTTAATCCTTTTTTCGGTTTTTTGTAAAACAATATCCAAAGTTATACATTTTTGCAATTTTAAGATAATTTTTCAAAGTTCATTTCAGTCTTACTCTTCTTATTTAGATACTGACCACATAATTTGGGCCATCCATGATGGAGTTAGAAAATCATTCATTGAAAAACACATTTGCAGTCTGAAAAATAAAATATAAAACTAGAACCCAGTATATCCTGATTTTTACCTTGTAAATGAAAAAGAAACTAAAATTCAATCTCTCTATCAAACAGGAAAAATTTTATTAGAAAAAAGAAAAGAGTCATTTTTAACATCAAGTCGTTTTATAATCAGTTAAACGTAGTTATTTTTTTACTCACAAATAAACAAAAAAGTGAACTACAGGTAAATGTGGTAAAAAATGGATGCTGAGAATCAATTCGTGACAGAGATGTTCTGAAACCACATCTAAAAAAAAATCAGAAAAATTCGTCTTTGTTCACATATCCTGCGCTCTTTTAAGAATTTGACACTTAAGGACATATTGCAGGCAAATGGAAGTCATTTTAAGTGTTTAAAATAACTTGTTAACAATATTGTTAATACCAACAATAACCGCTAGGAGAAAAGTGAAAACCCACAGTTTTTCTTTTTATGTAGGTTTGATCTCTTATGAACAATTATAATGCAAGTTTAAATGTTAAACTTCTTAAATGATTTGATGTTGTTATTGAATTGGTAGACAAGGAACGAAACGCCTTGTATACAAAGTTTTCCAATCGTCAATTTTTTTATTTACTTGATTTGGTGTAAAAAAAAAAAAACAATTTTAACGGTATGACTATTTGATTATTCAATTTGTATAATATGTAGATATAAAATTATTTTATCCTTTTTGTAATTTAAAAGAATATTGTTGGGATTTAGCGTTACTTCTGAGGTTCTTAGAATAAAAAATTTTTTTTAATCATTTCACCCAACAAAGCAATAAAGAATCTCTTCTTTTAGGATTCAAGATTTAAAAAAACCCCAAAGAAAAATATTTGCTTTAAAAGAACAGAGACAGAAGAGGATTTTCATGAAAGAAAAGAAAGAAGTTTGGTTAGAAAAGAAAAAGGAAAAGAGAAAAAAAAATATATAGAAAAGGAAAGGAAAAAGAAGAAACAATTAAAGGAAAAAAGATTTTAGAAAAAGTAAAAAAGAAAAGAAAACAGAAAAAAAGGATGGAAAAAGACCTGAAAAAAAAAAATGATAAAGAAAATTTTTCAAAAAAAGAAATGGAATAAACAAAACAAAAATTTTAGAATGGAAAATAAACAAACAGAAACAGATAGAGAAAAATGAAAAAATAAAGAGAAAAAAAGCAACTGATTCAAAGATTTATTATGAAAAAATGTCCGTGAGAATGGATAAGAAAAAAGAAAAAAAAGAATTGAATCCTAAAAATTTGTTGAAAAAATGTAAAAAAATATCTTTTAATAAATAAATAAAGAAAAAAACATTTTAAATGATTTAGTATTTTAAATAAGATTGTAGGTTATTTTTTATTTTTTTCTTAAAACAAAGAAAAGGCAATAGAAAAATTGAAAACTGAATTTACTCAAATAGAAGTTAAACATTTTGACACTTTGAAATCTGATTAAGAAAGAGTGAACGAGAAAAATTAAGACTTTTAAATCCACAGATAAATATATTTTGAATATATATTTAAGAAGAACAAAAAAAAAAAAGCAACTTTTGACTTTGTGTGACTAAATTCTAATATAAAGAAACTTTCAAAAGATCCTAGATAAAAATAACTGGTATATCCAGGATTGAATTTCTAGAATAAGAGCAAATTAATTTCTGAAAAAAAAATTGGTTTAAAAATTTCAGAAAATTTAAAAAAATCCAACCACTTATTATGTAATCCAAGGGCTGTTTATTTTAGGAATGTTTTTTAAATTTAAACTATTCTGATTCAGAACAAATAAAACAAATTTTGAACAAATAAACTACGAACAAAAAAACTCGTATTACATTTGTGGATGTCTCAACAATAAAAAATTTTTCCAAATAAACAAAATTTTTATCCATATCACAAGATAAAAAAGATTTTAGAGAAACGGCTTCATAAACGGAATAAAAATGACAAAAGAAGATTTTCCGAAGATGAATTATTCATTCGTTGACAGTGTATTGTATTGCAGATCTTACCCACTTCAGTACAAGATATTGCTATTTTATAAGAAATTCTACATCAGAATTATTTTTCAGGTCTTTTAAGCATCAAATAAATGAAAAGAAAACTTTTTGAAAAGTTAAAAAGGAAGAAGATGAAAAATATTCATATAAACATATTACATATATCTTTTTGAAAAAAGAACACTCATATTCATAAATTAAATAAGGAGCACTTAAACATCCCAAAACAAAAATCCAAAAAAAATAGAATTTTATAAAAAAGAGGTTTAAAAAATAAACAACACAAAAATAAGACAAAAAATATAAAGAAACTTTCATTATATGTATAAGAAATCAATATTAAAACTACCAACATTCCAAATTGAAAATTAATTTGCCAAAACGAAAATTTCTTTTTTTGTTATCTGTTTAAAAAAGTGCTGAACATTTTTGTGTTCCTAAAGTCTTTACTAGTTAAAATAAAATAGAGAAATATATATCTGGTTTCAATAGAACTATATTTCAAACGCAATGAAGACTTTCAGTCTTTTACAAAATTCAAAAATGGAAACGTGTTTGAAAAAAGATTGAGATGAAAAAACCCTGAAAAAATTGGCTGCAAAATTAGCTCTAAAATTATGGGAATAGATTTAAAAAAAAAAATTCCTTAAAAAGTAAAAATGGGTTTTAATACTAGAGAGATAGTTTTTAAAAGAATTGTTATGCAAATAAATTTTTGAATAAAAAAATCATACCAGCAATATATTTTGAAAAAAAATATTACCAGCAATATATTTGAAAAAAATTTTTTATTCGCAATAATTCTTGGGAAAAATTTTATCAAAAAACCTCTTTAATTTTCATCAAGGAAAAAAAATATTACCAGAAATAAATTTTTGACAAAAAAAAATATTAGCAGAAAAAAAAAAAAGTTGTATTAACAGAAAATAAACCATTGATGTTGGATGACAAAAAAACAAAATTAAACCAAATGTTTTTGCATTTGAAAACCTTGTAAAAGTATGACATTTGTTTGCGAAATTTCCCCCCAGAATGTTGAAATTAGATTTCTTACCACTAACTGTCATAAAGAAACCATTCTGTAAATTATCTTTTAAGTTTCTTTCTATAATTCACTAGATAATAAAGAAAAGGAATCTCAGGATATCCATTCAATAAATCTTCAGAAATTTAATTTAAAATATGAAAATTCAAAAAGAATTAATTGCTATGGAATCCTTTACAAATATCTTTTCACACACACACACACACACACACAATCACACACATTTACACACATATATACACAAAATATTTTCATGGCAATTTTCATCATACATCATGAAACGGCTAATAGTAAAGACAAACTCATTTATAACTTTTCATATTAATTTTTCTTTTGAAATATTGCTGTATTTTATATATATATTAAAATGAGGCAATGAATAAGATAAATCCCTTGCATTAATACCATGGACACAGAGTTAAAATATCTTTATGGGGTTTATTTCCCATGACAGTGTTTTTTAGTGGATAAGTAAAAGGTATTAAATAGAAAAAAAATTTTGTTTCAATTAAAATAAACCTGATGGGTAAATTTTAGATAAGAAATTGCATTTGTTTTTTGATATCAAAAAATTTAAAATAAAGTTTCTGCATTTTAAACGAAAAAAAGAAGAATTTTTTAGAAATAGCCATTACGGTTTTAACTCCATTAAATTAAATTGAAACGTTTGTAGTTTAATTTTATATAAAAAGCTCATCAGAACAATTAAAGTTATGGCAGCATGGTCGGCGTTGAAATGTTGATTCAAAAAAAAATTACTCAAATACAGCAATTGCTATCACTTGACTTTAAAATATTTTTGCCCTTCCTTGCCTTTTTAAAGGAGTGCCCTTTGCCGTGCTGATGTTGCTACATGCCTTACTTCTTGCCTATCTCACACTGAAAATTTTTTTCTAAGCTCTATACTAAACATTAAATCTGTTACGAAAAAAAGAACTAAACAAAATGAACACAAAACAATCAGCTTTAAAAAAAGGACTCGTAACTGGAAAAACCGAATGAAAAAAAGAATGTTAACAACAAATACTTTTTCACACCCAACCCAGTTCTGGAATCAGAATCAACGTTGAGTTTAAGCAAGCGAATGAGCCAATTGGAGTAAAGTGCCATGCAGATTTAAATTTTTCCCACTTGTGACGAATGCAGCTATCGATTTTTTTGCATGCTAGCATGCTAGTTAACATTCATGTCAGTCAGCTGTTGGCTCTCACGCTGGCCAATAGAATCTTCCTGCCTATTCGTGGCAGCCAGCTATTGGCTCTCACTCTGGCCAGTAGAAAATGGCCGCAAACTACATGAAAACTGCCGTAGAAGCATGAAAAAATCGATTATTTCCACTATCGATGGGAGTTGGGAAATGCAAAGTTGGTCTTGGCCTTCCTGCTAACTTGGAGCATGTGCATGTAAATTTTGGTGCAAATCCGTCGAAAATTGCGGCCGTGCATTCATACACACACACACACACATCCTGCCTTTTATAGATAGAGCACATATATATAGGATCTGATATATAGCCTTTTTTCAACATAAAGAAAATTTTTTTTTTAACAATGAGTAGGAAAGATAATATTTATTGATGACTGTAACCAAATTATTTAATTTTTTAGAAGTTTACAAATTCATTGAAAATTAAGCATTTTATAAATTTTTATTCAAATGTCTGAGAAAATCCTTTAATTAAAAATTTTAATTTAATTTCTTTGAAAGAAATTCAACATTTAAAAATTTGATAAATTGAACATAAATCTTCAAGTAATCAAAATTAAGTTGACTCAATAAATTTTTAAAAAAAAAAAATTGATCAGTGAAAATAAATACAAAATAGGGCAAAAAATATAGTTTTGATTTTAATTCTAAAACACAAAAAAAATATTGAATTGCAAAATAAAAAAAAAAAAAAATTAGAATAATTTTACTAAGATTTAAAAAACCCTCTTTTCTGAATATAAATAGTATGTTTTTATAATAAAGATTATTAACCTTTGTTGGCATCTAATGTGATGTGTTCAAATACACATTAAAATGATCTCAAATTTGCAGATAAATAATATTAGAAATATTTTGAAAATGATAACACAGCTGTCAAAGAATTGAAAGCTAAAAACTGGTTTCAGTAATAATTTTGACATCCCTTATGTTTTTTGAAAAAACACAATATGGGAAGTGATAAAATAAAAATCATTGAATCAATCTAAAAAATATCTCAGAATCAAAATGAAAATGATATTTATTAAAAGATCCAACATCAGAAAAATATATAAGGGAATTGTAAATGTAATTTTTTTAAATAATATGAAATTATCCATCATTTAAGATTACTCAAAATTTTTTTAATTTGCTAAAATAAAAAAATTTCATAGGTTTAAGATGATTGTTTAATGTTGTTCAGTTAAAAGTTGAATAACAAATTTTTTTTTTTTCCAATAAAATATATAAAAACTTATACATAAACAAAAAAACATTAAAATCAAGGGTTATATAAATTTGAATGAAGACCTTTTAAATATTTAATTATTTTAATTTTATTTGGATATAAATAATTTTTTTATTTTTTTTTATCCAAATTTAATTCAATTATTAAACGTAAAATATTAATTAATTACATAGGATAAAAAATTTATTTTTTAGATTTATTTATATAAAGAATTATTGACAAACAATTCATACATTTAGAATATGATTTTTTAAAAATGAATTGAGACCAAATTGAAAAAAAAGTTATAAATTAAAAAAGATTTTTAGAATTTTCTTTTTATTTGATTTTTTTTTGGTTTCATTTAATCCTTATATTTTCAAATTTTAAACGGTTTTCAATTTAAATTTCCATCCTTGTTACTTGAAAATTTACCAAACAAAAAAATTTTAACATGTTTATAAAAATTTCTGGTGAAAATGCAATATATATATCTTATATGAATTTTTTAAAAAAAAAAATAATTTGATCCTCAATTAACAGTTTTTTACATAAATTTTATTAAAAAAAAAAATAATTAAAAATAAATAAAA